GGCAAGGGCCTGATCCACCAAGTAACGTCAGCAGGCTTGCACCCATTTCCATGAGCTGCACACTCTTTGTCTACGGCCCAGCCAACTGGCCTGGAAGAAACTCCGTCGCATGGAACCCAACACAACGAGATCTACCAGGAATGTGGTTTTGAATTCAGTTTATTAAATATTGCATTTCTATTTTCTTCCCAAGCTCAGGAAAATCGGTTTGCCTGTCGTTGGGTGCCGGTCATGCTGGCTGTCAAGCATCTCACATGGCTGTTTGGATCTTGGTTAGGGAAAGGTATTCCCATTGCTTTTAGGACGGTCTCTCTTTGCCAGCTTGTTCCTGCAAAAGGGAAACTGAAAGCCCAGATTTTGTGCAATTCCAGTTCATATGTGCTAGGCTTTGCAGAAAGATATGTTCTTTTATCGGCATACAGATCTGTCTAGTGCCACGATTCCCAACCTTGGGTCACCGGATGAACTTGGAAGGCATCTCCCAAAAATCTTGGCCCCGGCAGCTAGTGGTGAAGGCTTCTGGGGATTTTAGCCCAAGAACATCAGGGGCCTCAAGGCTGAGAACCACCGGTCAATTGTGAGTCATCAACTCTGATTCAGGGATGGAAACAATACATGTTGAGGTCTTTATCCCTTTGATTTAGGATGTCTCAACATAATACTTAAGGAAGAATGTTCAAGCCACCATGAAATTGCTCACTGCCAGCCAAGAGGTACACAGTTTTCTCTGAAATTCTTCACAAATCTATGCAAAAACATCTCTAGCATCTTTCCCTTTGAGACACAAATATCTCGCCCATGACAACCACAGAAAGACAGATTGCTAAGAAAGATGCAGATCAGCCATCCAGGGATTGAAATCCTGAAAAGCTGACACCCAGTCAAAAGCCATGACTTGAGTAGGCCCGCTGGATCCGTGCACATCTGGTGAGTCAATGTCTCATCACTTCTATTGAGTCAATGAGCCTTCTCTCACTGCGACTTACTAATGGGTTTCAATGCAAATTTCTGATTCTCACCCATGCAAGGGCCCTTAAAAGTGCTCGGGAGATTTTTTTTTTCCACCGTTCTTTCCAGCAAGGAAAATAATGTCACATTTCTCATCCTTACATGTGGACAAGACACATGAGGATACACATCCCTGCAATAATATAAGTGATGTGCTTCCTTTAGGAGAAGCCGTAGGTTAACACTGTGCAACTCCAATACACAGTCTGAGAAGCATACACCTCTCCACACGGCTCCTTTCTCAATAACTTGGATTCAAGGATTATAGGTGAAAATAAAATAAAAGTTTTTTAAAAAAGACAAAAACATGGTGGCACTTTAACTTTTAATGAATTCCCCCTTGGATTCAAGGGTCAAACCATCCAGTGCTTCAAATACTTAAACCAAGCATTCTGGTCTGTGACTGCTCTGTGGAGACAGCTGAAATTGATGAGGACAAGGAACTTAGCAAGTATTTGTTCTGTCCTTTTGACAGCATCACACTTCTCAGTTGTTTGAATGTTGTTATGCTTGCAGTCTATTCCGAGAACAGCAAATAACTTAGGTCTGGTTTGCTGAAAGCCATCCAGTAAACGAGTCCAACTCCCTCCTCTCAAAAAAGGAGGGTCGGAGCTTCAGAAGGGAGGGAAGGGGCTATGCCCCTCTTGCACAAACAGAAGTGCTTTGGATATAAGCTAGCGATGGAGGAAATGGACCAACCTACAAGCACCGGGAAATCTTGCAACTGACGTCGTAACAAGAACCCAGGGCTCCCTTCCTGAAAGGAAGATCATGCGGATGGTACGATCTTAGAATTAGTTTGGACTCCAGCAAAAATGGGGAGCCCTCTGAAACAGATGGTCTAATCTACCCAAAACAAAGCTATTACAAAAATTTCAGAGTGATGGTAAAACCTTAAAACGCTCTGCGAATTTTCAGCGGTCAAGTTAAGAAGCATCATTTTGAAGACTAAATGGAAACTCCTCTGCAATTACTGGATGGGCTTCAGCAAACCAGAATTAAGTTGTTTGCTATACTCAGAACAGGCTGCCCGTTCCACACAAAAAGCCCCTACTCTGTGCATTACCAGGGAACAAATACTTGCTTCCTTCTTCCCCTCTGTTTTAGCTGTCTGAACACCACTGAACTTCAGCAAGGAGAGTTGAAAGCTTATGAGATCCCTCGCCTACAGCCAAGACCAAGATAAAGAGCTCAACCCCGTCCAACATATTGATTGTTAGCTCAAGATGTCTTTAGCTGCTTTGCCTTTGAGAAGCAAAGAAGAAAAACAGCAAGCGGAGAAAGACCGGATTACGGTCTTCACGATTCACAGGCTTGAACAACAACAAAACGCAATTCCCGGCCCATCAGCTCCTAGTCTTCTTTTGGCAGAGGGAACACTACTTATCAAAGTCTTGCTTCCAATTATGTGGTCTATCTGAAACCTATATTGATATCTACGTGTACAGTCATCTGTT